TGAGAAGGAATCCACAACATTTTTATATTTACCCTCTTGCTAAGTATTCTTACATATCTACGTCTAGCTTCCAAGACAAGCACGTTATTACTTGATTGCAAACTGTTTATTGCTCGTAGTGAGGATAGGGAGTCAGAAATAATTAAGCTGTCTACTTCAGTGTTGTCAATAATTTCAAGTGCTACCAGTATCGCTACCAACTCGGCTTGCATTGTGGACGCCCAGTTACTAATTCGGATATTTCTTTGAATTGTGCTGCCATCGGGCTGATGAGCAATAACAGCACTTCCTGCCCTCCCTGTAGCTGTATTGAGTGATCCGTCAGTGTATATGGTCTGTGCAATGTTGTTTTCAGCTTGTATATTGTGAATGTGCTCTATGGTGCTTAATTTAGCAGCAAGCTGAGCATGACGGTTGCTTGTGATTAGTTTCTTGGTGGGGTATGCAGGGGTCAGGATGTCAAAAGGTACTATCTGCCAGGGTGGAAGGAAGTGCTGTACTCTTTCATCTGTATATACATCGTGCAGTCCCATCATTTTAATATGAGTGGCAGTTCTTTGAATCCATTTAGACTCGCTAGTTCCATTTCGTATGTGTTCTAACAGTGCAACTGACACAATGTTGTTTTTGTTATCACGCAGCAGCTTTAGTCCCATCATAAGATTAATTTCAAATATTCTATCTCGAATGCTAAGTATATTTAATTCTTTCCGCATGTTGAGAACTTTGGTAGTTATAAGACAGCCAAGTATAATTCTGAGTGCTTCATTTTGCATTTTTTCCAGTCTATCAATACTTTTGCCATTCTGCAGGACCAAAGCTGGTGCATGATAGTCTATCAGAGACCTTATATACGCTAAATACATCATTCTTGCTATTCTAATATTAACACCATATTTCGGGCTGTACCCCACTACAGTTTTCAGAGCCTTGAGTCTGTCTCTACATTGTTGATGTAACTTATTGACTGCAGTTGAGGTACAAGGGACAGAGACTCCAAGGTATTTGAAAGAAGAGACATAGTCTATTGGTATGTTGTCTATCTTAAGTTTTCGTGGTCCACTTTTGCGGTTGCCAATTTGTCTGTTAAATACCTTAGTTTTAGCAGCGTTGATTACAAGACCAAGGCTCTCACAAGCTGTATGTATACAATTTAAGACTGTTTGCATTTCGCGGTGGGTTTTAGTATGCACAAGGATGTCATCTGCATAGCTGATAGTGATGTTTGCCGGACTAGTTGGGATTGATTTTAGTAAAGCATTAATTAGAACATTAAACAAGGTAGGACTAAGTACTCCTCCTTGTGGGGTGCCTAGTTGCATTACTTTAGTTTCACTCTTGTAGCCTTGGAACAGTGCAGAGGACTTCCGGTTGGTAAGATAGCCTCGTATCCATTGTAATAAATGTCCCCCTATATCCATTCTCGCTAATTCATACATAATCACTTCCCTATTAGCAATATCAAAGGCATTTTTTAAATCAAGAAATGTTGTGTACTTGTGCCTTTTATCTCCATGAACAGTAAGAAAGGTTGTGATACAGTTGTGTACACTTTTACCATGTGTGAAACCATTGATATCAGGTGACATGTGCTCTTTAACTCTATACAATAATCTATTAAGAACCATTCTCTCAAAGGTTTTGCACATGCAACTGGTCAGTGAGATGGGACGGAAAGCATCAGGTTGTCCAGGCTTTGGTACAGGTACCGTAAGACTGGTGGTCCATGATACAGGCAACTGCCCAGTGACATAGCTGGCATTAAACAATTCTAATAATGGGTTACCGGGTAAACGTCCAGGAGTGTCCTTCCGTCCAGGAGTGTCCTACCGTCCAGGGGTGTCCTACCGTCCAGGGGTGTCCTACCGTCCAGGGAAGTCCTTCCATCCAGGATTGTCCTTCCGTCCAGGAGTGTCCTTCCGTCCAGGGGTGTCCTACTGTCCAGGTGTGTCCTACCGTCCAGGAGTGTCCTTCCGTCCAGGGGTGTCCTACCGTCCAGGAGTGTCCTACCGTCCAGGAGTGTCCTTCCGTCCAGGAGTGTCCTTCCGTACAGGAGTGTCCTACCGTCCAGGGGTGTCCTTCCGTCCAGGAGTGTCCTTCCGTCCAGGAGTGTCCTCCCGTCCAGGAGTGTCCTTCCGTCCAGGGGTGTCCTACCGTCCAGGGGTGTCCTACCGTCCAGGAGTGTCCTTCCGTCCAGGAGTGTCCTACCGTCCAGGAGTGTCCTTCCGTCTAGGAGTGTCCTTCCGTCCAGGGGAGTCCTTCCGTCCCGGAGTGTCCTACCGTCCAGGAGTGTCCTACCTTCCAGGGGTGTCCTCCCGTCCAGGGGTGTCCTTCCGTACAGGAGTGTTCTACCGTCCAGGAGTGTCCTCCCGCCCAGGAGTGTCCTACCGTCCAGGAGTGTCCTACCGTCCAGGAGTGTTCTACCGTCCAGGAGTGTCCTTCCGTCCAGGGGTGTCCTACCGTCCAGGAGTGTCCTTCCGTCCAGGAGTGTCCTACCGTCCAGGAGTGTCCTTCCGTCCAGGAGTGTCCTTCCGTCCAGGAGTGTCCTTCCGTCCAGGAGTGTCCTACCGTCCAGGAGTGTCCTTCCGTCCAGGAGTGTCCTACCGTCCAGGAGTGTCCTTCCGTCCAGGAGTGTCCTTCCGTCCAGGAGTGTCCTTCCGTCCAGGAGTGTCCTTCCGTCCAGGGGAGTCCTTCCGTCCAGGAGTGTCCTTCCGTCCAGGAGTGTCCTTCCGTCCAGGGGAGTCCTTCCGTCCAGGAGTGTCCTACCGTCCAGGAGTGTCCTCCCGTCCAGGAGTGTCCTCCCGTCCAGGGGTGTCCTTCCGTCCAGGAGTGTCCTACCGTCCAGGAGTGTCCTTCCGTTCAGGAGTGTCCTTCCTTCCAGGAGTGTCCTTCCATCCAGGGGAGTCCTTCCGTCCAGGAGTGTCCTACCGTCCAGGGGTGTCCTTCCGTCCAGGAGTGTCCTTCCGTCCAGGGGTGTCCTACCGTCCAGGAGTGTCCTTCCGTCCAGGGGTGTCCTACCGTCCAGGAGTGTCCTACCGTCCAGGAGTGTCCTTCCGTCCAGGAGTGTCCTTCCGTCCAGGGGAGTCCTTCCGTCCAGGAGTGTCCTTCCGTCCAGGAGTGTCCTACCGTCCAGGAGTGTCCTTCCGTCCAGGCGTGTCCTACCGTCCAGGGGAGTCCTTCCGTCCAGGAGTGTCCTTCCGTCCAGGAGTGTCCTACCGTCCAGGAGTGTCCTTCCGTCCAGGAGTGTCCTACCGTCCAGGAGTGTCCTTCCGTCCAGGAGTGTCCTTCCGTCCAGGGGTGTCCTTCCGTCCAGGAGTGTCCTTCCGTCCAGGGGTGTCCTTCCGTCCTGGAGTGTCCTTCCGTCCAGGAGTGTCCCTTCCGTCCAGGGGAGTCCTTCCGTCCAGGAGTGTCCTCCCGTCCAGGAGTGTCCTACCGTCCAGGAGTGTCCTACCGTCCAGGGGTGTCCTCCCGTCCAGGGGTGTCCTACTGTCCAGGAGTGTCCTACCGTCCAGGAGTGTCCTAAGGTCCAAGAGTGTCCTACCGTCTAGGGGTGTCCTTCCGTCCAGGGGTGTCCTCCTGTCCATTGGTGTCCTTCCGTCCAGGAGTGTCCTACCGTCCAGGAGTGTCCTACCGTCCAGGGGTGTCCTCCCGTCCAGGGGTGTCCTACTGTCCAGGAGTGTCCTACCGTCCAGGAGTGTCCTACCGTCCAGGAGTGTCCTACCGTCCAAGAGTGTCTTACCGTCCAGGGGTGTCCTTCCGTCCAGGGGTGTCCTACCGTCCAAGAGTGTCTTACCGTCTAGGGGTGTCCTTCCGTCCAGGGGTGTCCTCCTGTCCATTGGTGTCCTTCCGTCCAGGAGTGTCCTCCCGTCCAGGAGTGTCCTCCCGTCCAGGGGTGTCCTCCTGTCCATTGGTGTCCTTCCGTCCAGGGGTGTCCTCCCGTCCAGAAGTGTCCTTCCGTCCAGGAGTGTCCTTCCGTCCAGGAGTGTCCTACCGTCCTGGGGTGTCCTCCCGTCCAGGGGTGTCCTACCGTCCAGGGGTGTCCTACCGTCCTGGGGTGTCCTCCCGTCCAGGGGTGTCCTACCGTCCAGGGGTGTCCTCCTGTCCATTGGTGTCCTTCCGTCCAGGAGTGTCCTCCCGTCCAGGAGTGTCCTCCCGTCCAGGGGTGTCCTTCCGTCCAGGGGTGTCCTCCCGTCCAGAAGTGTCCTTCCGTCCAGGAGTGTCCTTCCGTCCAGGAGTGTCCTACCGTCCTGGGGTGTCCTCCCGTCCAGGGGTGTCCTACCGTCCAGGGGTGTCCTACCGTCCTGGGGTGTCCTCCCGTCCAGGGGTGTCCTACCGTCCAGGGGTGTCCTTCCGTTCAGGGGTGTCCTTCCGTCCAGAGGTGTCCTACCGTCCAGGAGTGTCCTTCCGTCCAGGAGTGTCCTACCGTCCTGGGGTGTCCTCCCGTCCAGGGGTGTCCTACCGTCCAGGGGTGTCCTACCGTCCTGGGGTGTCCTCCCGTCCAGGGGTGTCCTACCGTCCAGGGGTGTCCTTCCGTCCAGGGGTGTCCTTCCGTCCAGAAGTGTCCTACCGTCCAGGAGTGTCCTTCCGTCCAGGAGTGTCCTACCGTCCAGGGGTGTCCTCCCGTCCAGGGTGTCCTACCGTCCAGGGGTGTCCTACCGTCCAGGGGTGTCCTACCGTCCAGGGGTGTCCTCCCGTCCAGGGGTGTCCTCCCATCCAGGGGTGTCCTCCCGTCCAGGAGTGTCCTACCGTCCAGGGGTGTCCTCCCGTCCAGGGGTGTCCTACCGTCCAGGGGTGTCCTACCGTCCAGGGGTGTCCTACCGTCCAGGGGTGTCCTACCGTCCAGGGGTGTCCTCCCGTCCAGGGGTGTCCTACCGTCCAGGGGTGTCCTACCGTCCAGGGGTGTCCTCCCGTCCAGGGTTCGACTTCCGCCAGGGATGTCTCCAGTGAAGAGCCTCTCTGTTGAAGAGCTCTTCCAGTAAAGAGCGCCTCATTTGTAGAGCTCATTTGTTGAAGAGGACTTCTAGTGAAGAGCTTCCTTGGTGAGGAACTTCCTTGGTGGAGAACTTCCTTGGTGGAGAACTTCCCTGGTGGAGAACTTCCCTGGTGGAGAACTTCCCTGGTGGAGAACTTCCCTGGTGGAGAACTTCCTTGGTGGAGAACTTCCCTGGTGGAGAACTTCCCTGGTGGAGAACTTCCCTGGTGGAGAACTTCCCTGGTGGAGAACTTCCTTGGTGGAGAACTTCCTTGGTGGAGAACTTCCTTGGTGGAGAACTTCCTTGGTGGAGAACTTCCCTGGTGGAGAACTTCCTGGTGAAGGAGAACTTCCCTGGTGGAGTGGAGAACTTCCCTGGTGGAGAACTTTCCTGGTGGAGAACTTCCCTGGTGGAGAACTTCCCTGGTGGAGAACTTCCCTGGTGGAGAACTTCCTGGTGAGGAACTTCCCTGGTGGAGAACTTCCCTGGTGAGCTTCCCTGGTGGAGAACTTCCCTGGTGGAGAAGAACTTCCCTGGTGGAGAACTTCCCTGGTGGAGAACTTCCTTGGTGGAGAACTTCCCTGGTGGAGAACTTCCCTGGTGGAGAACTTCCCTGGTGGAGAACTTCCTTGGTGGAGAACTTCCCTGGTGGAGAACTTCCCTGGTGGAGAACTTCCCTGGTGAGGAACTTCCCTGGTGGAGAACTTCCCTGGTGGAGAACTTCCCTGGTGGAGAACTTCCCTGGTGGAGAACTTCCCTGGTGGAGAACTTCCCTGGTGGAGAACTTCCCTGGTGGAGAACTTCCCTGGTGGAGAACTTCCCTGGTGGAGAACTTCCCTGGTGGAGAACTTCCCTGGTGGAGAACTTCCCTGGTGGAGAACTTCCCTGGTGGAGAACTTCCCTGGTGGAGAACTTCCCTGGTGGAGAACTTCCCTGGTGGAGAACTTCCCTGGTGGAGAACTTCCCTGGTGGAGAACTTCCCTGGTGGAGAACTTCCCTGGTGGAGAACTTCCCTGGTGGAGAACTTCCTTGGTGGAGAACTTCCCTGGTGGAGAACTTCCCTGGTGGAGAACTTCCCTGGTGGAGAACTTCCCTGGTGGAGAACTTCCCTGGTGGAGAACTTCCCTGGTGGAGAACTTCCCTGGTGGAGAACTTCCTTGGTGGAGAACTTCCCTGGTGGAGAACTTCCCTGGTGGAGAACTTCCTTGGTGGAGAACTTCCCTGGTGGAGAACTTCCCTGGTGGAGAACTTCCCTGGTGGAGAACTTCCCTGGTGGAGAACTTCCCTGGTGGAGAACTTCCCTGGTGAGGAACTTCCCTGGTGGAGAACTTCCCTGGTGAGGAACTTCCCTGGTGGAGAACTTCCCTGGTGGAGAACTTCCCTGGTGGAGAACTTCCCTGGTGGAGAACTTCCCTGGTGAGGAACTTCCCTGGTGGAGAACTTCCCTGGTGGAGAACTTCCCTGGTGGAGAACTTCCCTGGTGGAGAACTTCCCTGGTGGAGAACTTCCCTGGTGGAGAACTTCCCTGGTGGAGAACTTCCCTGGTGGAGAACTTCCCTGGTGGAGAACTTCCTGGTGGAGAACTTCCCTGGTGGAGAACTGGTCCCTGGTGGAGAACTTCCCTGGTGGAGAACTTCCCTGGTGGAGAACTTCCCTGGTGGAACTTCCCTGGTGAGAACTTCCCTGGTGGAAGAACTTCCCTGGTGAGAACTTCCCTGGTGGAACTTCCCTGGTGGAGAACTTCCCTGGTGGAGAACTTCCTGGTGGTGGAGAACTTCCCTGGTGGAGAACTTCCCTGGTGGAGAACTTCCCTGGTGGAGAACTTCCCTGGTGGAGAACTTCCCTGGTGGAGAACTTCCCTGGTGGAGAACTTCCCTGGTGGAGAACTTCCCTGGTGGAGAACTTCCCTGGTGGAGAACTTCCCTGGTGGAGAACTTCCTTGTTGGAGAACTTTGGTGGAGAACTTCCCTGGTGGAGAACTTCCCTGGTGACTTCCCTGGTGGAGAACTTCCCTGGTGGAGAACTTCCCTGGTGGAGAACTTCCCTGGTGGAAGAACTTCCTTGGTGGAGAACTTCCCTGGTGGAGAACTTCCCTGGAGGTGGGAGAACTTCCCTGGTGGAGAACTTCCTTGGTGGAGAACTTCCCCTTGGTGGAGAAACTTCTTCCTTGTTGGAGAACTTCCTTGGTGGAGAACTTCCCTGGTGGAGAACTTCCCTGGTGGAGAACTTCCCTGGTGGAGAACTTCCCTGGTGGAGAACTTCCCTGGTGGAGAACTTCCCTGGTGGAGAACTTGGTGAAGAACTTCCTTGGTGGAGAACTTCCTTGGTGAGGAACTTTGGTGAGGAACTTCCCCTTCCCTGGTGGAGAAGGAACTTCCCTGGTGGACTTCCCTGGTGAAGAACTTCCCTGGTGAGGAACTTCCCTGGTGGAGAACTTCCCTGGTGGAGAACTTCCCTGGTGGAGAACTTCCCTGGTGGAAACTTCCCTGGCGGAGAACTTCCCTGGTGGAGAACTTCCCTGGTGGAGAACTGCCCTGGTGGAGAACTGCCCTGGTGGAGAACTGCCCTGGTGGAGAACTTCCCTGGTGGAGAACTTCCCTGGTGGAGAACTTCCCTGGTGGAGAACTTCCCTGGTGGAGAACTTCCCTGGTGGAGAACTTTCCTGGTGGAGAACTTCCCTGGTGGAGAACTTCCCTGGTGGAGAACTTCCCTGGTGGAGAACTTCTCACATCAAGTTAACAAACAATAACACAGAGCCAGCAGCTAAGCAAGTGCCAGGATTAACTGTGATCCAGCGAGCAGTAATTGGAGGCCATAATTGCCCTCCTCCTGCTTCTCCTTCCTCAAACTTCTTTCAAAGATTTTAATGGCGTGGATCACTAGATATTTTTGTCGGGTAATTGGCTGCTGGTGACTCGCGACCCAGCCACATCCGGCTGTGGCCGGTTGTTTGTCGTCGAGGAGGAGGACGCGACGCCGCACCGTCCTCGTCCGGTTGTGGCCGGTTGTTTGTCGTTGAGGAAGAGGACGCGACGCCGCACCGTCCTCGTCTGGTTGTTTGTCGTTGAGGAAGAGGACGCGACGCCGCACCGTCCTCGTCCGGTTGTTTGTCGTTGAGGAAGAGGACGCGACGCCGCACCGTCCTCGTCCGGTTGTGGCCGGTTGTTTGTCGTTGAGGAAGAGGACGCGACGCCGCACCGTCCTCGTCCGGTTGTGGCCGGTTGTTTGTCGTTGAGGAAGAGGACGCGACGCCTCACCGTCCTCGTCCGGTTGTGGCCGGTTGTTTGTCGTTGAGGAAGAGGACGCGACGCCGCACCGTCCTCGTCCGGTTGTGGCCGGTTGTTTGTCGTCGAGGAGGAGGACGCGACGCCGCACCGTCCTCGTCCGGTTGTGGCCGGTTGTTTGTCGTCGAGGAGGAGGACGCGACGCCGCACCGTCCTCGTCCGGTTGTTTGTCGTTGAGGAAGAGGACGCGACGCCGCACCGTCCTCGTCCGGTTGTGGCCGGTTGTTTGTCGTTGAGGAAGAGGACGCGACGCCGCACCGTCCTCGTCCGGTTGTGGCCGGTTGTTTGTCGTCGAGGAAGAGGACGCGACGCCGCACCGTCCTCGTCCGGTTGTGGCCGGTTGTTTGTCGTTGAGGAAGAGGAAGCGACGCCGCACCGTCCTCGTCCGGTTGTGGCCGGTTGAGGGAACGACGCCAGTAAAAATTATGGTTTTATCTTCGCCTGCTGCCAGTGTATTTCCGTGTCGGCTGAAGTCATATGACCTCATCAACCTTAAGAATTCCATGGCGTCCAATGGTGTGGCGGTGTGGTCTGTACAATGGTGTACAGCTGCACTATGATGGTACAGCTACACACTATGATGGTACAGCTAATCTATGATGGTACAGCTACACACTATATGATGGTACAGCTACACACTATATGATGGTACAGCTACACACTATATTACGGTACAGCTACACACTATATGATGGTACAGCTACACACTATATGATGGTACAGCTACACACTATGATGGTACAGCTACACACTATATGATGGTACAGCTACACACTATATGATGGTACAGCTACACACTATGATAGTACAGCTACACACTATATGATGGTACAGCTACACACTATATGATGGTACAGCTACACACTATATGATGGTACAGCTGCACTATGATGGTACAGTTACACACTATGATGGTACAGTTACACACTATGATGGTACAGCTACACACTATGATGGTACAGCTACACACTATATGATGGTACAGTTACACACTATGATGGTACAGCTACACACTATGATGGTACAGCTACACACTATATGATGGTACAGCTACACACTATATGATGGTACAGCTGCACTATGATGGTACAGTTACACACTATGATGGTACAGTTACACACTATGATGGTACAGCTACACACTATGATGGTACAGCTAATCTATGATGGTACAGCTACACACTATATGATGGTATAGCTACACACTATATGATGGTACAGCTACACACTATATGACGGTACAGCTACACACTATATGATGGTACAGCTACACACTATATGATGGTACAGCTACACACTATGATGTTACAGCTACACACTATATGATGGTACAGCTACACACTATATGATGGTACAGCTACACACTATGATGGTACAGCTACACACTATATGATGGTACAGCTACACACTATATGATGGTACAGCTGCACTATGATGGTACAGTTACACACTATGATGGTACAGCTACACACTATGATGGTACAGCTAATCTATGATGGTACAGCTACACACTATATGATGGTACAGCTACACACTATATGATGGTACAGCTACACACTATATGAGGGTACAGCTACACACTATATGATGGTACAGCTACACACTATATGATGGTACAGCTACACACTATGATGGTACAGCTACACACTATATGATGGTACAGCTACACACTATATGATGGTACAGCTACACACTATGATGGTACAGCTACACACTATATGATGGTACAGCTACACACTATATGATGGTACAGCTACACACTATATGATGGTACAGCTACACACTATGATGGTACAGCTAATCTATGATGGTACAGCTACACACTATGATGGTACAGCTACACTCTATGATGGTACAGCTACACACTATATGATGGTACAGTTACACACTATATGATGGTACAGTTACACACTATGATGGTACAGCTACACACTATATGATGGTACAGCTACACACTATATGATGGTACAGCTGCACTATGATGGTACAGCTACACACTATGATGGTACAGCTACACACTATATGATGGTACAGCTACACACTATATGATGGTACAGCTGCACTATGATGGTACAGTTACACACTATGATGGTACAGTTACACACTATGATGGTACAGCTACACACTATGATGGTACAGCTAATCTATGATGGTACAGCTACACACTATATGATGGTATAGCTACACACTATATGATGGTACAGCTACACACTATATGACGGTACAGCTACACACTATATGATGGTACAGCTACACACTATATGATGGTACAGCTACACACTATGATGTTACAGCTACACACTATATGATGGTACAGCTACACACTATATGATGGTACAGCTACACACTATGATGGTACAGCTACACACTATATGATGGTACAGCTACACACTATATGATGGTACAGCTGCACTATGATGGTACAGTTACACACTATGATGGTACAGCTACACACTATGATGGTACAGCTAATCTATGATGGTACAGCTACACACTATATGATGGTACAGCTACACACTATATGATGGTACAGCTACACACTATATGAGGGTACAGCTACACACTATATGATGGTACAGCTACACACTATATGATGGTACAGCTACACACTATGATGGTACAGCTACACACTATATGATGGTACAGCTACACACTATATGATGGTACAGCTACACACTATGATGGTACAGCTACACACTATATGATGGTACAGCTACACACTATATGATGGTACAGCTACACACTATATGATGGTACAGCTACACACTATGATGGTACAGCTAATCTATGATGGTACAGCTACACACTATGATGGTACAGCTACACTCTATGATGGTACAGCTACACACTATATGATGGTACAGTTACACACTATATGATGGTACAGTTACACACTATGATGGTACAGTTACACACTATATGATGGTACAGCTACACACTATGATGGTACAGCTAATCTATGATGGTACAGCTACACACTATGATGGTACAGCTAATCTATGATGGTACAGCTACACACTATATGATGGTACAGCTACACACTATGATGGTACAGCTACACACTATATGATGGTACAGCTACACACTATGATGGTACAGCTACACACTATATGATGGTACAGCTACACACTATGATGGTACAGCTACACACTATATGATGGTACAGCTACACACTATATGATGGTACAGCTACACACTATGATGGTACAGCTACACACTATATGATGGTACAGCTACACACTATGATGGTACAGCTACACACTATGTGATGGTACAGCTACACACTATGATGGTACAGCTACACACTATGATGGTACAGCTACACACTATATGATGGTACAGTTATACACTATATGATGGTACAGCTACACACTATGATGGTACAGCTAATCTATGATGGTACAGCTACACACTATGATGGTACAGCTAATCTATGATGGTACAGCTACACACTATGATGGTACAGTTACACACTATGATGGTACAGCTACACACTATGATGGTACAGCTACACACTATATGATGGTACAGCTACACACTATATGATGGTACAGTTACACACTATATGATGGTACAGCTACACACTATGATGGTACAGCTACACACTATATGATGGTACAGCTACACACTATGATGGTACAGCTACACACTATATGATGGTACAGCTACACACTATATGATGGTACTGCTACACACTATGATGGTACAGCTACACACAATGATGGTACAGCTACACACTATATGATGGTACAGCTACACACTATATGATGGTACAGCTACAAACTATATGATGGTACAGCTACACACTATATGATGGTACAGCTACACACAATGATGGTACAGCTACACACTATATGATGGTACAGCTACACACTATATGATGGTACAGCTACACACTATGATGGTACAGCTACACACAATGATGGTACAGCTACACACTATATGATGGTACAGCTACACACTATATGATGGTACAGCTACACACAATGATGGTACAGCTACACTGAGGCATGACAACATGCAGTGTATATATGTTACCAACACCCAAGTTACAGACCTGTTGCAGCAGCAACCCTGGCCAACAGTGAGGAGGTGTGACCACTTGTGCCTCTCTGCCTAATAGGCCACGTTTGTTACGTTATGGTAACCAGACTCACACTTGACACCTAAAATGGCAAGTTATGGCTCACAAAATGCCTCCGTTTTCTATGCATGGGGGCTGGATGGGTTAGGTAGGTTGTTTGGGTTCGTGTGTTGGATTGGTTAGACCGCGAGCATATGTGGCAGGTTGATTGGTTAGACCACGAGTACATGTAATAGGTTGATTGGTTAGACCACGAGTACATGTAATAGGTTGATTGGTTAGACCACGAGTACATGTGATAGGTTGATTGGTTAGACCACGAGTACATGTGATAGGTTGATTGGTTAGACCACGAGTACATGTGATAGATTAATTGGTTAGACCACGAGTACATGTGATAGGTTGATTGGTTAGACCACGAGCACATGTGGCAGGTTGATTGGTTAGACCACCAGCGTATGACAAATTGATTGGTTTAACAACCAGCGTATATAACGAGTTGATTAGACTGACCACCAGTGTATATGAAGAAGTGATTGGCTAGACCACCAGCATATATGACTAATTGATTGGTTAAACAACCAGCATATATGACTAATTGCTTGGTTAGACCACCAGCATATATGACGAATTGCTTGGTTAGACCACCAGCATATATGACTAATTGCTTGGTTAGACCACCAGCATATATATGACGAATTGCTTGGTTAGACCACCAGCATATATGACTAATTGCTTGGTTAGACCACCAGCATATATGAGGAGTTGCTTGGTTAGACCACCAGCATATATGAGGAGTTGCTTGGTTAGACCACCTGTGGGTGACAACCAGCTGTGAGGTCAGTGATCAAGTCCATTTCACGTTCAGCTTTTTACTCCGCGTAAATATAGCCGGAGTCAGTAATTAATTCGAGTTATTAGGGAAATGTGATGATTTTATTATCTCTCTGAGCTAATTAAGGTAATTATTAATTAAAAATTACATATTGTAACTTTTTAATTAAATTTCAACTTAATTTATAGCTCGTTGTAGACAAGCTCGTTTTGACAAACTTCGTCTGTAAAATACACGTATATCATATATTTACACGTGAAGAAATAATAACCTGAATCAATATAATTGGACAATAATAACTATAAAAATTAATTGTAGGTATTTTTGAGCAATACATATTATTGACCAACACGGCTGTAGTTGTCTGCAAAACATTGAATGCATTTCGAAATATATCTATGTTAGAAAGTCAAATTAACTCTCACATTTAATTATTAAAGAAATGCAGTAAGACACAATATATTTCAAACTATTGATGTAAGTAGAACAAACTATACTGCCAGGGCTGTTGATTTACGGAACAACTTGCCGGGTATCATAATATACCTGGGACTGCTGGAGTGTTTCAAGCGTAGGTTAGACATATA